AGAAAAAACCCTGATTTTATGAAAATAATAGAAAGGTTTGTATAGTTATAAACGATCAAGGAAAAGGGATTCTGCGTGTGCTGGACAGGTTTACACTCTCCCTGAATGCACAGGTTCACAGTTGGGAATATTTCTGAGCTTGGACGCCCAGTGCATTTCCATACTTAGAACTAGTGTGCCAGCTGTGCCCATTCCTGGAGCTGTCCACTTTGGCCATGGCTACCTAAGCCTGAGCTACATCCCATTTGGATTACTGTAACATGCTCTCTGAAGCAGCTGCACTGGCTCCCAGTCTGTTTCCAGGCACAATTCAAGGTGCCTGTTATAAAGCCCTGTATGGCTCAGTTCTAAAAGACTACTCTTCCTTATTGGCCTTCCCAGGTTCTAGGATCTTCTGGGGAGGTCCTACCACCCTTGCAGGCAGACTTAGTGGGAATGTCTGGCCTTCTCAGTGGCTACCCCAAGGCTCTGGGATTCCCATTCCACAGAGGCGAAGTTGGAGCCCTCCCAGTTAAGTTTTGGCATACAGGCAAAATGCTTTTTGTTCCAGAAGGCAATTGGGAACGGTCTGGGCCTGTGAGATTGCATTGGACTAGTTCTATTCTTTTACACTGTTTTAGTTTTTAATTTGGGTATTTTTAAATATTTTTATGTTTAATTGATTTAAGTATATTTTTAACTTTTGCATATTTCTATGAATGCTTTAATTTTATAAGTTTTTAATGTTGTAAGATCCCTGGGAATAGGAGGATATTATTTCTCAGATTAATGCAGAAACAAGATGGAAAAAATTTATGAAAACACATATAATGGGCATGAATTTGAAATACAATATTATGCAGATCCCATGACATGGCAGGCATGCCATGAGTGGAGTTGGCTGGAGCTGGGGGGCAGACTAGATGGCCCAGGAGACCCTTTCTAGCTCACTCTGTTTCTATGTTTCTTATTTTTTGCTTGGAACTCCTTTATTTATTACCCCCTTCCTCGCATTTTTTTTTCTTTAAAAAAATCTTTAAAAGTAACAGAGAAATGGTGATGGCATCACAGGACATAGCTACTTGATGTAGCAAGTAGCTGAAGCACAATGTTTTGCTCTTCATCACAGTTTGCAGTCTGAGTGCCGGTGAAAGGCTTTCAGGACCATTTTAAGATAATCCCAGAGTTATTCAGGGCAGTCTAGATGAAGACAAACGGCACCTAGAAAGAGTCTTTCAGTGGCAAAACTCTAGAAATAAGGGGGAAGTAAAAAAATTTCATTGCCCAACATGTACAGCCAGTTTTTGAGACAAGTCACCTAATAGTTTGATTGTTTTCTTAAGCGTAAGTTTATCAGGCACCATCTGAAATCTAGCCCATACAGAATTTTAAATTAAAATTAAATCATTCAAGAGAAACTAATATGCTGTAACTTAGAAACAAGAGTTTATTAAAACAGTGAGCTCCAGCATCTCTAATTTATTTGCTAAGGTATTTGTTCTCCTGGACCAGCAGGAAAAGATTGCTGCATCAAAAGAAGCATGGCTTGTTGTAGGGTTAAACAATCTCTGAATGACGGTACAGCATGTCTTTTAGCCACAGCAGCTTGTTTTGGTTGTCATAGACTGGCTTTGCATAATGCATTAAGCCACAATGGCTTCAAAGCCCCAGTATTTAGCTTGCCATGGTTTATTGTGGGGTTTCATAGCAAAACCCTGGCTTGCCATATCATCCGAACCTAGTTGAGACAAAAACCCCAGGTGAAGCCTTGAAGTTTAGAGAGCTTCTTGGCAAGAACAGCAGATAGTTTTGCTGCTTTGCCCAAACAACTCTGATGACAACTGTCCTAAGTGCCCATCAGCTCTCCTGCTACCTTGTGCTTCCCTCCTAAACAGAGGGAGGGACAAGCCTGTGTTCTCTTGGGTGTCCTCAGCAGAAGGCTCAAGAAAGCAAGACTCAGCTACCCCTTCACTTGGCATGGTGCGCCCAGCAGAACTTCCCTGCCTGTCTGTGGGAACAGGATGAGCTGTGCTGTGCCTCACTCAGGCCAAGCACAGCACCACTTGTTTTGTCCACACTCCGCATGCTGGCCACTAAGTAGCTGCCACAGCAAGTAGAGAAGCGTTCCCACCAGGGTCCATTCTGCACTAGCTGCTCAAGCCTCAAATGGAGCTTGAGGGGCCAGCACATGTCAGGCACCTGTGGTGCTACTCTGTGTCAGAGGCGGGAGTGGAGTGTTGTGCTCAGCTTCCCAAGAGAGAAAGCCCATCATAAGATAGCTCCTCCCTGCCACTTCAGGTCCTGGTAAACAAGGCTGCTGACAATCTTTCTCTCAGGCTCTAAAAGGTTCCCCCAAGTAACACTTGGGCCCAACTGCCACCCCCTTTGATTCTCCCACAGTGTACCCTGGGATACCAGAGGGAGAACTCTGGGAGGAAAAGGAGAGAGGTGCTACCTTTTATGTACACCAGGAGTCCCAGTATATAAACCACCCCGGGCTTAAAGTGTGATGTGAACCATGGCATAGCACTACCAGCAAAACCAAGTAACTTTCTCTAGATGCTGTAGAAGTGTTCTGTGAGAATATAAAATTTATTTAAAGTGAGTACATATCACACCATTCATATTACTTATTGATCATTAACTCTTTGCCACAAATGCACGCTCTTAATTACCTTTTCCTTCTTTGGTAGATTTGTACAGGTGCCCAAAAAATTGGCAGCCCCTGAGTTATTAGGATACAAACATATCTCAGGGATTTGTCTGAGAGTGAACTATTATAGTCTAGTTTCCATCAATTCTGATTCACACGTCAACATGTCTTGTGTGTCACCCTCAATTTACCAAGCAATTTCCACTTGTTGTCTTTAATGGTACCAAGATAGGAATGGTTTTCAAACACCATTTAAAGCTTAAACAGAACTCATATCCCCACACCTGTCTTTTTATAAATACATGTTCACACACATGCACACACAATAGATATTTGTGTAGGTATATGTTTGCAGAAGATATATGTCTGCATACAAATTCGAGTTTACACAGAGTGCCCAGACATTCAAGAAGCTTCTCTGTGTGGATAAAAGCTCACTGCTCTGCTAGGATCCAAAGAATTGGCAAAGTACCTTTGGACTTGTACTTCTTCGCACAGAGGCACCACAGTTCAGTGGCAGCATGCCTGGTTTGCAAGCAGGTGGTCCCAAGTTTAATATCTGGCCTCCCCAGGCTTGATGAGGAAGGAATCCTGCCTGAAACCCTGGAGAGCCATTGCTGTGTCAGTGTCAGTAGTACTGGGCTGGATGCACCAAAGTACTTCCTGTACTCCTGTGTTCATGGACACACACATACTGCCTAAATGCAGTTTAGAATGGCACAAAGATCTGCTATTCAAAGGTGAAAAAAGTCTAACGTTCTTAATAGTCTTTGGCCAGTGAAAACACTTTTGATACCTGGATATGGCATGAACATAAAGTTCAGCCACATATTTTAGCATCGTGTAAATTAGCTTCTGATTCATGTGTTCTCACCTCCCCTGTCCGGTGTGGTTGGGAGAATACTGGAAGCTGATCCCTCCATTTTCAATTAACCTGGGTTATCATTAAGTCTGAACTCAAAACCGTGGTTAAATATTAACTAAGGTTCAGGGCAGAGGCAGACAGATGGCTTTACCCAACCGCATTCTGTGGAGCCCACCGAGCCTCTGGTAGGCTGGCCCATTTCAGTTCCCTTGCCTGCCCAAACAAGAGAGAACTGTACTTTGAAAGCATGAACCATAGTTACAAATGGCTTCCTTCCCACAGGAACAGGAGAGGGGAGAACAGCATTTAAAAACACATAACTGGCCAGATCCATGCTTTTCAAAAGGCATGTGTGTATGTGTGTTGTAAGAGATGTACGTGTAAACAAATGGCGTGGGTGTGGGAGAAAATGGATAGATGTTATGTATAACAGTATGGAAAGCTGGAATGACTGAAAAAGATCACCAGGTCATAATACTTTGTTCTCCTCCTGTTTTTTTATCTCAGAACAGGTAAAGAAGAGGGAAGGGAGGAGGACAGAGGGAAAAAGGAAACACAGCATGGAACAGTGATAGTCTTTAGAGATAGAAAGGGGGGCTTGGAGGGGCTACCTATGCCTAGCCAGCATTTTAAAACTTTTGCACACAAATTTTTTTGTGTGCAGTGGGTGAGCTATCAAGAGAAACCAAGGGCATATGGGATCTTTGGCTGACAAGGGAGTGTCAGTGGGGATTTATGGACCCTTCCCAGCAAGACCCTCATCTTTTCTGATTTGTACTCTTTAGTGCTCATGGGGGTCCACAGTTTGCACTTGGCTTTAATCTTCTGTGAGTAAAAATGCACCCCTGCTTTTATAAGGGGTAGAGGTTTTTACAACTACCTATTGAAACTGTCTGTCCCTTTAAAAATGAAGTGCTATGAGGGAAACAGGTCATTTTTGGATTTGGACATATCTGTGTGTATGTTCCAGTCCCACGTCATCCACTTCCCTCAAAAATCTATTTTAAAGAAGCCCAGAGAGTTGACAGCCAGATTGAAAAATTTTAAAGGGGGAAAAGCCCCAGTGAAACCGAAAGGGAGAGTGGAAAAAGACCTGTTCCTCCTGCAGTGACTCATGAGATAGCTGCAGCAAGACCAGTCATGGTAAGCCGGATCATCTGGCAAGGCTCACTGTGAGCTGCTCAACAGTCAACCAGCCCGTTGTGACTAATCTACTGGGTTAGGTTGCTGTTACATGTGAACATCCCAGACACGGTTTCCCAGATGTTGCTCTTGGGTTGTATACACCACAGAACAGCACAGCTCTACCAGAATGAAGGAAGCATACAATTCTGTATTAACGTTTGTCCAAAGAGTATAACAAGAACTGATAAGCAAAAGAGTAGCTGCACTTGCAAGTGTAAATTTTGTTTATAGTGGTCAGCATGTTTCACCTAGTGAATGGTCCACTTTTTTCATGCCTCCAGTGGTTAGAGAGTATTCCAATAAAACAATTATACATACTTTACGATCCCGAAATCCAGACCGCTGCTTCTTCTTCTTTCCTTCTGTTGGAACATCTTCATCACTTGACTCTACAGCTTTTCTGTCATCACTCTCTTCATTCACAACTTCATCTCTGTTCTTTGTTTTCTCACCAGGCTCTGCTCTTATATCATGTTTTACAGATGATGATGCTTCTGCGTGGGCTCTGAAGAAAAAAAGAAACGAAACATAAGGCAACCATTCTTCTAATTTGCATTAGAAACTATGTACCTTTATATGCAGCAAGACATTTGCAGAATCATCACCATTTAGATCCTTTGGCAGAGAAGCAATCGCTTCATTCTAGGTGCCTAAAAGCATCTCAGACTTTGTCATCAACCAAATGCCTGCTATTTTTCTATAAAAGCTGTTACAGAAATAAACTTTATTACATTAAAATACAAATTAACCAGAGTTACTACAGAGAACTTGCAACAGGGTATTGCGCTTATTTCAACTTGCATTCCATTTCTGACATTTCTCACGGTTTTTCATTTGAAGCTTAGTTTTAACCAGTTTAACATAATACCATGCCAGAGATGCTTGCTGCCATACATTTTGCACCAGGTGCAGGTCGGTACTAGCTGCAATTTCTTTCTGTAGAAATAATGGTCAGAAGGTGGTAGATTTCATTCTGTTAACCACTTGCGAAGGCACGTGATGGAATGTGCTAGCACAAACTATGGCACCAACTTAGGTGTCTGTGAAAAGAATTAGAATAATCTGATGGAACGGCCCATCAACCGTTCTTAGCCATGGTACATACATGGAACGCTCATAAGCACAGAAGGAGTATGCCTGTGGATACTGGGTCCTAGGGATGGTCTCCAATTTCACACAGTGCTTGTGATGTTCCGGAAGTCATCTCTTAACAGAACTTTGCACCAAAACAGAGCAAGTTGCAATGCAGCAAGCAAATTCTATTAAAATGTTTTATGCACTTTGTACTAACGAATGGGAATCCAATTAAAAAAATTGTCATCCTCAATAGCCAAACATGATTTCATAGCACAAAGCAGACCTAAAAGTAAAACAGCTGAACACTGCTAGTGCTAAGGAAAACACACCAGCAATTCCCATATTTTCATCTATATGGCTCCATAAACCTGGCTAATCTTTCATTAAGCCATAGTTCTGTGACTCAAACATACCTGGAAACTCCGCAAGAATGCAGGTAAGGATCTCTATGCTGAAGCTGGCCTGAGAGGGCAGAAGGAGCGGTGAAGGAGCATGCTGCCATAGCATTTTGCCAAGGCTTCATAAATCATGGCTTATTAAGGTGCTGGGAAAACTTCCAAATGCTTGAATAAATATCACTGACATGACACTTGGTAACACCCAGTTTACAGGCCTAAATCCAAATAGCAACAACCAAGTGAACACAACACCAACATACAGGTATACATACAGGGCTGAGAGCCAGTGTGGTGTAGTGGTTAAGAGCATGGGACTGGGACTCAGGCGATCCGGGTTCTAGTCCCCACTCAGCCATGGAGCCAACTGGGAGACTTTGGGCCAGTCACGGGCTCTCAGCCCAACCTACCTCACAGGGTTGTTGTTGTGGGGATAAGATGGAGGAGGAGAGATGATGTAAGCTGCCTTGAGCCCTTTGTAGGAAAAAGGCAGGATATAAATCGCAATATAAATAAAATAAATAAAAAAATAAATGCAAAACCAAATATTCCAACTATGAGTTTAAATCCCCTTCTGGGAAGATCAGAAAAACCTATCCCTTTAACCCTATTGCATGGGAACACTGATACACAATTTTACTGATCGTATCTGAGGGACCACTGGGTAAGTCCTCAGAAATGGAACAAGTTTTATAGCAGGTTTTTCATTCATCTGACATTTTGTTACAGCTATCTACATAAGGAACAACCTCCCACCTATGATTTCATGGGAAGTGAGTTGCTGGACACAATAAATTCTCTCACTACCCCTATAAATTCTCTCACTACCTTTGGTTGGAAAAAAAAATACAGTGTCTGAAAATTATACATACTTGTTTTGTATGGCAGATTGTCAAACCATGGATTAATTAACCCAAGATTTGCAGTTACTTGCAGAGTCATTTCCAGTTTGCAGAAACAACCATAGAATACCCATTTGTAGATTGTTTTGTGATGTCAGAACCTGAATACTTTGGGTTGCTTGTAGGTTAAAAAGTCCACAGCGTATTTGGGTTTTGACATCATGAAAAAAGCTATGTATGGGAGATTCTTGATGCACACGACTGACTGTATATTGGGTCCATAATGTATAAATCAAGTCAGTCATAACATTTATAGAGAAATGTAGAACTCCTCTAACCCTTTCTAATATTTAGAAACCCTAAGTCAAACATATTACCAAAGTCGATGAAGTTAAAAATCTATTCACTCTGTATTTTCCAGACTAGTTACTGAATCCATATTGTTACCAAGTTCACATTTTCTAATCCAAGAGTTCCTAAAGCAGCACTCATGGGCACTTCCAAAGGAGGCTGCAAAGGGATCCCCAGTGCGGTGCCCACAGACACCTGAAACATTTCTCCCTTTTTAACATACATCCATGGATTTGTATGAAAAGACTACAACTTTGCAACAAATATGCATGGGCTTCAAACAAAAGGAGACCAAATACCCAAATGAGTGTCCATTTGAACGTGGTGTCTTTATGCCATCCAATCAATTTCTGAAAGTCTTATAAGGTCACCGACCCCTTGCATTATAGGAACTGTTCATCCTTCAGAATTTGTAATATCAGAACTTTAAGCTACTGAAAAGGTAAAAGTAATCCATTCTCCCTTCCATTTGTTAATTTAATTTATATCTTGTCTTTTTTCCTTTCAAAGAACTCAAGACATAATCCTCCTCCTCTGAATTTCATCCTCACAACAACAATTTTATGAGGTGGATTAGGCTGAGAATTCATGCCTGGTGCCAAGTCACCCAGTGAGCTCCATGGCTGAGTGAGTGGGGACTAGAACCTGGAGCTCCCAGATCCCTAGCCCAGCAACCTAACCACTACACCACACTGGGTCTTGAATTTCCATGACGCAGGTAAATAATTTAAAACAGCATGAAGATCAGTTATGTTAAAGACTGTTCCCATTCAAAATGTAGTTGGGTAATAAAAATTGCTGGACATTGCCAAAATATAGGTTAAAAAGAAACATTTAGCTCTATAGCACTACTAGCAATTAGCTGAATTGGACAACTGCATATTAAATAGTGTAGTGTCAGTAGACATCCAACAAATATTTTTGCAGAATAAGACACACAAGCAGAGCACGTATACTCCAAAGTGGCACTCCACTGAGTAGACATTTTCTGGTGGTGCCCACAGGAGTTTCTCAAATTCTGAAATGTGCCCTTACAACCAAAAGGGCTGGGCACCCTTGACCTAATCTTAGTTTCTACTAAATTATGAAAGGAAGCAAACATCAGTACTTTTCCCAATAAAAATATTGATCATAAGATGCTTCTTTATTAAGTCCCAACATTCCTTAAAATTGTTCTGCCCCAAAATAAAACCAGCAGCTAGAGCAATAAAGAAGGAACCATAAAATTGTTTTTACCATCTGAACCACAGTGTTCACAACAAACGGCCTGCTCAGCTTGTGTTGATTTATTTCTGATGCCCAACAAGTGATGAACTGGGCTGCATTGCTTTCCCTGATGAATCGAGAAACTCTGTATTGCAAAGGATTGATGATAATGAAAACTGAAGCTGTTTGTCCAAAACTATAAAACCAGGGCCCAGATGTATTGCGTGGGGGGATCAGAGGGAAGCCATGAAGGACAAGGTGGTCTACCAGAAATGATGGGTTCAAGTCCAATATTGTACAAGTAATTCTCCTTCCCCCACTGTGCAGATATGCGTTTCAAATAAATTTAAGGCAGAAGAAGCACAAAACTGGGGCATATATTCAAAAGTGAAGGAAAGGGGGCGGGGAACCACCAGGCATTCAATTCTCTTCTTACTAGCTCCGGATCAAGCTCTGACAGCTATTGTATGTGACAGACTTGAAGGTACTAATAAATTCAAGCGCTCTGCATAACACAAGGGAAGTACTAAAATGTGCAGAAATGCTGCCAGTGTCCTTTAAACAATGTCACCAGTAGGAATGGGAATTCACATATGCTCCGACTATATAGATAAAACAGCAAATCATGTAGAACTATGCAATTAATAAAAATGGATGACATTTCCACAAGTATCATTGGTTCATAAGCTTTTGTGAAAGACAGCACAGGAAAACTGGTTTTGCAATGCCTTCCCATGCATATTGTCTTGGAAGTAAGTTCCAATGAGTCCTGAGTATGTATGCATAGGACTGCAACCTGAGAAGAGTAACACCACTGAACTGAATGGGACTTACTTTTGATGGATTGTGCTATTCATCACTTATAAAAATTTGTCAAGGTAAATTATCTGCAGTAAAGAGGCACATATTCATTGATGACAATAATTATTTATAGAGTGGTAGCTGTGTTTGTCCACTGCAGCAAATCACAGAAGTGAGATGCTGCAGTGGACTCGAGCATTACAGCTGCACAAAGTGGGAAAGCTAACTTCCCTGAAGGACAGTTATACCGGTTCTTTCTCCACTCCTTCCGCCTCTGCTTCCAAACATATTATGCACAGCTTTAATTATACTGAGCGTCTTTTTTACCCCCCTTTTTAAAATGTGATTTGTGTGCTTCCCCAAACATCTGGGTTTCCTTGAGCATGCAGCTACTTCCTCCTTGTGCAGGGCATTCGTACTCACACCTGAACATCAGATCAGAAACAGAAGGAAGTGATGTTCAGTTGATGTTTTACTAACAGGAGATGACGGATGGAAGATTGTCTCCCAACAATTGAGAATCTCTGTTTTGAAGGAAATCTCCCCTAAGCTTTAATAGAACTCCAATTAAGGGTGGAATGGGGAAAAGAATCGGGAGGAAAAGCAGGTTGGCAGTTCTGAAGAGACAGCGACATAATCAGAGAGCTCTGAGATGGCTAAAGGGGCTGGACCTTGGGGTACCAAGTCTCTCTTCAGGGCACAGGATTGGCTGCCAGGCAGAAAGTCTCTACTTATTTTCTGCTTGCATACTATTGGTGAGCCCAAAGTCTTCAGTGCTTCAGAGAAAAACAGCCCTGGCAGCACTGGCCCTACATGAAGCCTAGTTAGAAGTG